CGTCTGGTTTTCTTCATCATCATTGTTATTACATTCTGCTCAGGTGTACCCCGACGGGATACGTCACATACGAGCGGACAAGCGAGTGAACGAGTGGAAGGCTCCCGGTAAAAAGACTATAGTAAAATGCGCGGTGAATCAGCGTCAGGTGGTGATCGCGCTCACCGGAGGAGAATTGGTATACTTCGAGATGGATCCCGTACGTGTTTCATTTACAATTATTTTCATTTCGCATCATTTTGTTCTTTCTGCGATGGATTTTATTCTCAGAAATGTAGAAGATGCGAAGAATAAATCACTTTATTCATCTCGAATAGTTATAATATTAACTAGATGAGAAGTGGACAGTCTAAGAATTGGCAGAGATCCAATAACATTTATGATGTTGTTACGATTTCCAGACGGGACAATTAAACGAATATACGGAGAGAAAGAAGATGCCGTCGGAAGTAATGTGCATGGCGCTGGGTAACGTGGCGATCGGTGAACAGAGATCTTGGTTCCTGGCCGTCGGCCTCCAGGATAACACCGTCAGAATAATCTCTTTGGACCCTTCGGACTGTCTAGCGCCGAGAAGCATGCAAGCTCTGCCGGCAGCCGCGGAGAGCTTGTGCATCGTTGAAATGGGTGCCAAGGATGCAAACAATTCCGAGGAACTATCGCTCCAGCACTCGAGTCTTTACTTGAACATAGGTAAGTTAAATTAGAAAAGCATACGAGTTCATCTTTATTTGGCCCGTTTTCGTGCATCGTTATCGTTGCAGGTTTGCAGAACGGCGTATTATTGAGGACGGTACTAGATCCTATCTCGGGTGATCTCGCGGATACGCGTACTCGATATTTGGGTTCTCGACCAGTTAAGTTGTTCAGAATAAAGATGCAAGGAAATCAAGCCGTGCTTGCGATGAGCAGCCGATCCTGGCTGAGCTACTACTACCAAAATCGTTTTCATCTGACCCCGTTGTCTTACGAGAGCCTGGAATTCGCGTCTGGCTTCAGTTCCGAACAGTGTCCCGAGGGCATCGTCGCGATTTCCACGAACACTCTCAGGATTCTCGCTCTCGAGAAGCTGGGAGCGGTGTTCAATCAGATCAGTTTCCCTCTCGAGTATACACCCCGTCAATTCGCGATCCACTCGGATTCGGCGCATCTTATAATCATCGAAACGGAACACAACGCGTACACGGAGGAAACCAAGCAACAGAGGAGGTTGCAGATGGCCGAGGAGATGCAAGAAGCCGCGGGTGTGGAAGAAGCTGCCGTCGCGAGGGAGTTGGCGGAAGCGTTCTTGTCCGAGGAACCGAACGAAGCCGTATTCGGTGCGCCGAGAGCTGGCCCAGGCTTTTGGGCATCTTTGATCAGAATAATAGCGCCTACCAGGACTTTCGAGATTCATCGGTTGGAGCAAAACTATGTCGCTTACTGGTAAAAATATCAACGGTACTCGAACATTCTGTCGATGAACTTGTGTCGTATTAACATTCTCCCGTAATTCATGTTACAGCTTGAGTCTCGTAAAGTTCATGAATCAGGGCGATCAGCTGTTCCTCATCGTAGGCGTGGCGAAGGATTTCCAGCTGAATCCAAGAGTCAGCACCGGTGGTTTCCTCTACACGTACAAGTAAGCAGATCGTTCCCATGATTTTTGTAAACGTAAAATGTTAGAAAATCTGTATGATGACAAAAATACACGATCAACTGAAATACGATAAAGATGCCACTCCTGCAGTACTGATATTTTCATTAAAGTTAAAATTGGAAATTATGAGAGAAGAACGAATACGAAAAAATGGATCTTTGTTTCTGGTTTCAGAGTGAACGCGGAGTGTACCAGTCTGGAGCTAGTGCACAAAACTATTTTGGACGAGGTACCTTTGGCTATTTGCCCGTATCAGGGAAGGGTGTTGATCGGTGTTGGCAGGATGCTACGATTGTACGACATGGGCAAGAAGAAACTTCTGCGAAAGTGCGAGAACAAGCACATTCCTAACGCCGTCGTTTCCATCAACGCTATCGGGCAAAGGATTTACGTGAGCGACGTTCAGGAATCCGTTTACGCTGTCAGATACAAACGTCAAGAGAACCAGCTCATAGTCTTCGCCGACGACACGCATCCGAGGTGGATAACGACGACGTGTGTACTCGATTACGATACCGTCGCTACTGCCGATAAATTTGGAAATATTGCCGTTGTAAGTACAATAAACGACTAAGAAAAGAAGGTTTTATGTAGCTTGATAAGTGATTTATATCTAATGTTTGTCGACAGATTCGTTTGGCGAGTGGAATCAATGACGACGTGGACGAAGATCCGACTGGTAACAAAGCTTTATGGGACCGAGGTTTGTTAAACGGCGCCAGCCAAAAGGCTGACACGGCCGCTTGTTTCCACGTCGGCGAGACGGTAATGTCTTTGCAAAAGGCCACCCTTATTCCTGGCGGCTCGGAGAGCTTGGTCTACACGACGTTGAGCGGAACCGTTGGCGTTCTCGTCCCGTTTACGAGCCACGAGGATCACGACTTCTTCCAACACTTGGAGATGCACATGCGATCGGAACATCCACCCCTATGCGGCAGGGATCACTTGTCCTTCAGGTCGTACTATTATCCTGTGAAAAACGTGATCGACGGGGACCTCTGCGAGCAGTTCAACTCTATCGAGCCGGCGAAACAGAAGAGCATATCGGGCGATCTCGAGCGTACGCCGTCCGAGGTATCGAAGAAGCTCGAGGATGTTCGTACACGATACGCCTTCTAACTTTATCTATTTATTAAACTGGACGATTTTTGCATTCCGTTTCTAAGAAGGTTTGGCTTCATTTTCATATCAGTGATTTCGCATTAATTAAATTCAACTGGATGTTGTTT